TCAATTCCTTAAAATTTATTTTCTTTCCCCTCGAATTCCATTTTTATAATCAAACAAACATGAAGAAAACCATAACCACTTGTCCCCTTTGCTCTATGAATAAGACTTGAAGAGGCATGGGTCATAGTTGGGACAAAAAATTTCCCAAAGCAATGTCGATAATAAATGGAAAAATTACCAAAAATCAGGTGTTAAGTTGTGAGTTTTTAAAATTCAGATTTAAGGTTTAACCTCTGTTTGGGAGTCATTCTTCCTCCAAATTCTAGAAAAAATATAGACATTATACAGTAAGTGTGTCAGGGAGTGGCAGACTTTTTCTCGACTAAATGTTGTAAATAACTAGTTTACCCTTATACAAAATATCAAGATTAACTAAATGAATGGCAATCCGGTAACTTCGAATTAATGCAGTTAGAACTCAATGCAAAAAGCGGATCCCGCTGACAACCTCTAACGGTCACATTTTTTTATTAAAATTGGGCCAAAATGGCTCCCAAACAGAGGCTTATCTATTAAAAAATCAGGTATTTTATTTTATATATAAAACCCTAGATCTATCCAAACTCTACATTAATCCGTTTCATTTCTATTCACCCTCGCACCCGTCGCCACCACTGCCCGCTGCCTCCACCACCTTTCTCTCACAAAGGCGACTCATCACCACCATCGCCCGCCACCTCCTCCTCCCCTTCTCTCTCCTCTCATCCCGTCTCCCTCCCCCTCACTGTCGGAGTCGCAAATCCACCATCGTCTGTTTCCCTCACTCTCTCCATTCGTTTCCCTCTCTCTCTCTCTCTCACCAGTTCCCTCCACAGCCCCCTCCCTTCTCCCTCCGCCCTGAATGTGTGGGATTTCACGCATTTTGGGTGTTGATTTTAGTGTGTGTTGTCTGGTGTGTGTTATTTTGGGTGTTGATTTTAGTGTGTATTGATTTTGGGTGTTGATTTTAGTATATTGATTTTAGCGTGTGTGTTGATTTTAGGTGTTGATTTAGTGTTTGAGTGTTGTCTGCTGTTGGGTCCCACGATTTGTGGTGGTTTTAAGTTTTTCTTCATTCTCCGATCTTCTTAGCGAGGTTGGGTTTTGTTGGTAGTGATTTGCACATTGTGATGGTTTTTACAAATGCAAATGGTGAGGTGGTGGTTGTGGTTGTGGTGTAGTATAAATAGAAATTGGGATGGTTGTCGAGGTGTTGGAGGTTGCGTGGTTGGTGTTATTATTGGTGGATGGTTGTGGAGGCGGTGCAGAAAAGTGTCTATGACCAACTATTTGGTCGGTCTGTGACCAAGTATTGATGGTGGATGAGGATCAGGGATGGGTGTTTGGGTGTCTGTGACCCACTATACGGTTCTCTGTGACTAACTATTAAATCGTGACCTTAAAATTCGATAATCCGTGATTAAAAATATAATCTATGACCAACTAATTTGGAAATATGTTACTTCTGTTATCTATAATTTTTTAAATTTGTGACCAATTAAAAATTTGTGACCTATAGTTTTATTTATTAGTGACCAATAAAGTCAATTGTGACTTATAAATTTTTTGATTTGTGATATCGAAATATTTTGTGACCAAATAATTTGATAAGCCGTGATCGAAAATTAATTTTTAATTAATTAATAAGATATCTGTGATCAAATTGTTTATGACTGTGACCTTAACAATTGTCGAAATTGGAGTAGTTGTAGGAATTAAGCGGCGAAGGAATGGCTACTGAAAAAGTCGCCAGTCGTTGTAATGATCGGGGTGGTGGAGGTGAGGTAATTATATTATATTACAATTAAATATTTAATTAATTAATAAAAATATGATTTTTACAATTTTGAATTTTAGCACCTGATTTTTTATTTTGACAAAGTTAATACCCGATTAATGAATTTTGGGAAAAATTCACTTTCCCTACTTTATCTTTACCCTATTTCAAAAATAGCAAAACAACTTTTACATTTCACAAATCGAAAATTTTGC